CTACATATTAATTAAGCAGACTTGTTATCCAACCTAAGGGCGGGCAGGAGTCGCAAATATAAGGATATTTTTTATTTTTATTTTTTTGAACAATTTTGTCATGGACGGGTTTGAAACCCACCCAGAAAAGAGGGATGTGCACTTTTCAGTGGCTCTAGTCACTGGGCCACACGGGTCAAGTGCGCAAATATAAGGATATTAATTGAGGAGGAGGGGGAAATTTGATATTACAACTTCAATAATCTTAAATACATAAATAAATCTTAATAAAATTTCAAATAAAAATTCAATGAACTTATTAAAAAAAAAAAACTCAATAAAAAGGTTGAAGCATGATTTTTTTTAATTAAAAAAAAGCAATATTAATAACAAAAATAATTTTATAATTTTTATAATTCTTCCTAGAGAGGATGTAGAAAAATAAGATATTTTAACAATAAAAATATTAAAATATCCAATTATAATAATAAGACAAATAGAATATAAAGTAAATTTCACTCAAATGTTATCTGTTATGTAATTAGAACTAAACATTCTTGCTTTTTCTAATATCAAGATGTTTTAATTTTTTTTTATTTTAATTTTTCATATCTATTTATAATAATATTTTAAAATAAATATAAAAATTGATGTAAATAATCTACATAAATAAAAACATAAGATCTAATTATTGATTTTTAAAAATATTCATACGATTATTTCAAAAAAAAAAGGTGAGTTCAAAAAAATAATTCCAAAGTAAGAAGTTTAAAAAATTATTCTTAAAAAATCTTAAAATATAAAATAATCCTAAATTAATACTTTGTGATGAAAAATGTGCCCCTCTCCCAGCAATTAATATCTGAAAATTTCCTACACCTAGTGGCCCCTTAACAATAAATTTCAAAATTGATATCTGACTCTGGACACAGGAATTAATGCCTAACTCGGCATATTTGACAAATTTGTTGTCTAAATTCCCATGTTTCTTTCTTACCTACATATTAATTAAGCAGACTTGTTATCCAACCTAAGGGCGGGCAGGAGTCGCAAATATAAGGATATT